CGAATAAGGTTCATATATTGACTGTCGAATATTTGTTTTAATAACTATACAATTATTATCATTTGATACTTACTATTGAATTCGGCGTTTTGTGCTAAGTAATTAGAACAAATATCTACGATTTCTGGAATGAAAAAGATTCCCTTTATTTATTTTTTTATTTATGAAATTTGTTTACTGTAAAGACACTACATTTTTAGGACAGACCTTTTATTTTCCCGTAATGCTAAAATTATCCTAGCCCTCTCTTATTTTCACTTATTTTTATTTATAAGTAAAACCTTACCCTTCATGCTAGGTTTGAGTTCGGGTGAAGTATTTGGTTGGGCGGTCTCAGCTAGATCCTTATTCAGCCGATTAGCTAATGTACAATCGTAATCTGATGCGTCAAAATCGGGTGTTTCTTTCAACCTATAACCGAAATTGAGATTTAGATTGTATTACTATAGTCTCACACTTATACTAGATCTATGGTATGTCTAGTTCTACAGGTATATAATAATCATTTGTTACTGCTGTTTGTTTACCTACTCGTATCTATAGTCGAGTGGATAGTTACTAAAGTATAAGTATTAACTTAAGCAAATATTGTAACCCATTAGATCAGAATTTGAATGAAGTGCCAACTGTGAATAGCTAACAATAATAGTATTCGTACCATACTCAGAGTTTTACTTTATCCAAATTATAGTTAATTTGTTAAAAATATTTGCTTAAGTTCTAACTTATGACTGGGTAAAAAAAAAATGCAATTCTATTTAGTCCGTCAGTCAGACAATAGAAAAATATTAGATACGAATTTTTTTTTACTTCTATATAACAAGAAATAGCTTAGATAACAGGCATTAAAGTTGAGGAGTGGGGGCTTGCTACGTCACAGTTTAGTAGAAATCGTACCCTAACGTGACGTCATGCGAAATTTCAACTCCATATAACGCCGTAATTTTATGATTACGAAAAAATAAAAAAATACGTGTTTAATATTTTTTAACACTCTACTTGACGGACAAACAAACAAAAATTAGTCATCATCCCTATTATCTATACAAAGAAGGTTGTATTAAAATGATATCGTTAGTTAAAAATTGGACGTATCTACAAAGCTTTCTTACTCTGTTGCACCCTCTCCGTAAGTTTGTTGAAATTTTCCATGAGACAAAAGCTGTTCATCTCCTTTCTTAGCCATTGAATCGGTTAGAATGAGAAATGCTTCCAACATTGGACCTAACAAAAAATCATCAATAAATTATATATGTAGCAATTGAGGTCAATACTATTTAAACATTTAAGCGTTAAACATAGAAAATGAGAATACGACACATCATTCGCTACGTTTTTTAAAATTCTTACACTTTTGAATTAAATCACATTAAATTGTGTTATTACCTATAGAGTAACAAAAATCTGAATAAACTGAACTGCGCAAATAGATTTCCATTGATCAGTAGATAGTTGAATTTTAAAGGTAAATTAATTTAAGTAAATTAACAGAATTTATCAGATCTTTTAAACAACATATTAATGAAAGGAAATTGCCCACCAAAATATGGAATTTAGTTTCACACTATCGGTGGATTTCTGAGAAAAGGCTAATGTAGTTCATCAAATTAATATTCATATAATTTCAATGCAATTTATAGTAAATATATCTATAGTTTTTTAACATCTATTTTTTTTTGTGACGTTCATATTCAATCATTCAAAACAAAAGCCTTTTTCTAGTTGCCGGGGTGTCGAATATCTTATCAAAATTAAAATAATTTGTAAACGAATTTTAAATTTAATGATTTATTCATGACAACTCTACAATGTCAAAATTATAGTGCACTGTTTTATAAACTTATTTTTTTTTTTCTGGTGAAGTTGTGGTTTCATATATTAATGATTTAAACAAAGTATGAAAGTTTTTGTTATACATTTCATTGATAGAACGAAGGAACAAAACGGAAACTTGTTAAAAAAGTATAATTGTCATTACCTGAGAACTTCAAGTAGGCTGGTGTTGCTGAAATATATGAAAATATTTTTATTAATTTCTAACAAAAAAAAAAATAAAGAAGAGAATAATAGACGTATCTATAATTCAATAAAATTCACTATTAATGAACTAAAGAAACATTATCAATTTAATAATGATAAATGCTTACGTCCTTTCCGAAGTCCACCCTGAAAATATAAATGAATTACTAATTATAAGTTAAATAAGACATTGTTTTTTGGCAATATTAAATAGCTTGATTACTTTAAGTGAATAAAAGAATACGCGACGACGGTTGGAATAGTTTTTGATTAATTTTTTGTTTGATTAAATAGAACGAATTAATTGCACGTATCTTAAAATTTAAGGATTATGTTACTTAGAAAAAGACGAATGTGTCTAAAAAGGAAACATTTGATATGGTTTTACTTTAATAATTTGAAGTGCGAAACAAAGATAAGTTCAACCAAACAAAAAAAACTCAAAATCTAATCCTGACATTATCACGATTAGGGATATTTCCAAAAAATCCTATTACGCAATCGGTAATCTGACTTTGACATCTATTAATAACTGGAAAGGAAACTGAATCCATTGTGGCTGTTTGGTTTTTTTTCGGTATCCTTCTAATATCGGTGTGTCCCATTTGTTTTATTTCTATCGATTATGGCAAAAAAGTGACTATTTTTGGTACCTTCGATGTCAGATACTACATGATACGGGGGCTGTAGCTACTCATCTTGGAATCTGAGCTATCTATGTGATGGAAATAGAATGTTAGGAGCAATTTAACAAAAAGATAATGTAGTTTGTTCTAAGCATAATTTGAGAAAATAAAGAACATACTTTTGAATAGTAAAAATAGGGAAATTATTTTCTCAGTTCGACCGTCGTGTATAAAACAAATGGAATTAATAGCAAACCATCCTTCATTCTCCAAAATGATGCAAATGAACACAAGAGGAAAATATTTGTTAAATATGTTTGATTGTTAAATGAAGAAAGATTTGCTATTTTGAAACTTATAGTATAAAAATACTGCTTAAAGTTGTATTAGGTGATACTGAAATGATAATTACCTCTGGAGTGTTCACTTGTATCAGTTTACAGGAAAATAAGAAAGGAATGGTGAATAATACACGTGTTTACATTTTTTCAAAGATTTTTCTATATTTTTCGTTTTTAAATTTTATTACATCATGCCACGCCTAAGTTACTATCATATAAACTAATTCACTGTTTTTATAAATTATATATCACGAGTTATACGTTCAGTATTTTGTTTAAGTACATCAAGTAGGGGCTGTGGGTTCCGGTTTTGGTGTTACACTCTCAAGGACTGTTTCTAATACAATACAATAATGTTGTTCTTCCTTCAAATAATGCGTCTTGACAAAACGTAGATTTATTACGTAGACCTATAAAATGTTTTTTTTTGTGAATTTGTAGTCTAAAATATATATTTTAGAAACAAACTGCTTAACAGGCAATTAATAGGTGAGATACCATCCATAAGGAACGCCTGAGCCCCTACAGTGGGGACGTAAAAGGGCTGATGATGATGATAGTAAATTTTTTAAATATTATCGTAAGATAAAATATACATACTCTTATAATCGTATTAGAACAAAGAATAGGCATTCTTATCCCAAATTAAACTATTAAGTTTGTTCTCGGGAAATCTGAGTTAAAACAATCATTTGTATCCCGCCTTTTGGATTATTTAGCCAAAGGAGAAAGTAAAAAAAAAAGAAAGTTGGTTATATCCTTTCATAAAAATAAAAAGGGAAGATACGGTACAAGTGCTTTGTTAATGGAAACTTCAAATTAGGCATGCACACAATTTCACTTTTGACACTATTAGTACCAATAGTACGGACAATCACTCCACGAAGGACACACATGCTAGAATAAAAACATGAAAGAAATTCATTGGGAAAAGATCGAAAAAATGCCTGGATATTCTCGTATAAACTGTATAAATAGTTCAAGAACAAGACAAAAATTAATGGCATCGCATTTCCCTCGTAAATATATTAAAACATGTTTTTAATTCAAACTTTTTAATGGTAATACTGTATTTTTTTAAGAAAGGATAAGAGTATATACCACGTTATATGCGCGGGAGAGAGAATGGATGTCAGCAGTGCGGCGTGTTGCTACGCGCATATTTTTCTTGCTTTGTTCATGCTAGTGTTGAAATTCATTGCTGTCTCACTCGCCCGGTTGACATGCTACCGTTAACGTGAGTTCCTGTCTCGCTCACATGAGTACTGTGTTAATGTGTGAGTGAGTTACATATGCAATCGTATCAGTGACAGTGCCATTTTTGATCAATGCAACTATGAGTATGCCGTATCTTCCCTTTTTGTTTTAATCAAAGGTTATTTCAATTAAAGACACTTACGCCACCCATCATATCGAGGAAATTGTCAGTGAAGCCAGTATCACCGGCTTGCTCAGCTAGTATTAGATCTAAAACAAAACAACATTTGACAAAGTTAAAATATCATTTTATTATTCCAAATGTTTTTCCAGAATCTAAATTCTGTATTAGTATTGTATATGGAATTATAGAAAAAAACAGAGAATTAGGAACGGCAGTTACTGTGAGAAGCCACATGGTGAATTATTTTACTATTGTTGAAAACCGATAAAAAAAAATTTACCATAGATTTGACGAGGGGAGAAAAATATTGGGAAATAAAGAGGAAGGAAAATATGGTTCTGTTAAATCAAGCTGATGGTGAAGGCTCATAATCACATTGACTATCTCGTGCGCTGGTAGACAGGGATTGGTTAATTCCACTAGACGTTTTATACCCTTTTCTATATTCCCTTCTATTTGTACTTTCTTGTACTATCTTTAATTGTGGTTTATTAGCATATCATTATAATCCTAGATTTAGCAATGCCCCAGCCTTAGGGGCGAAATCATTAAAACCGTAATAATAACTAAATTCTCCGTTCCATCTTATTGTCGTGCAAAATTAATTCATGTAATTTTATCAAGTACTTACGTTTACTGTTTGGCTATATCAGATTTGGATTGACGCGGGGTTTGTGCCGGCGTGGTGGTCGGTGTTTGTTGTGGGGTCCTGCCGGGGGTCGCCCCGGGGGTCACGCCGGGCGTGGCTCCGGGAGTGTCCGTGGGGGTTGCCTCCACCGTTGGGGTCGATCCTGTGGCTGACCCTCGGGGAGTGCTCGACGCTCCAGTATCAGTCGCCGATGGTGGCCTGTCCACCTCTGCAGCACTCTTTTCTACTTCTTCAATGAAAAACATACCTCATATACTCGTTGCTCCATAAGCTTCCCTCCGAGAAAATTGGGCAGTACGACTGAGACAATGAATTTGTAGACAATTGTTCAAATGTTCAAAGTAAACCCATTTTTCTCAGATCTTTGGAATTTTTTATATAATGAACAATCGTTCCGAAAGGTATAATTTAATTTAAACAATCGCCACAATTTCTATACACAAACTTACCTGCTGAGTCCAAGAAACAATAGTGATGACAATTGTTCACTGTTTAATTGCTTTCACATTTAGTGCATTAAGCAAAGGCAGCTTACCATCGTCTTCATCAAAGTCCATCATGAGCATGCGATCTTCCGACTCAGCGAGAACGTCGTCGATCCACACTGCTATCTATAAGAAAAAAGAAAAAGTCAAATAAAAGTCTATTTGAGAAATTATATACTTACGTACTTATTATAGATTTTCCCTTAATATAAGTAAGTACGAACTATTTCTGTTTTTTTCTAAAGTTTGATCGATGAAAAGCGGGATGATCAGTTTTTGCCTATTGTCTTAAATAACTTCAAAATTATTGATGTTAACATTACATATAATCGAAATCTCACAATAATCTGCTTCATTTGATATGTTATGTTTATACTTTTCAAAAGCTTATTATTTTCTAATTTACCCCAAAAGATGACACAATGTTAAAAATATTTTATTAAATGACATATTCGCTTTTGGCTCTTCTATGTTATCTATACTAATGTCATAGAAATGTAAAGTTTCTAACTTTGTTGATTTGTAGGGAAATACTGACCAATCATTAAATTTTATCACCGTGATGCTAAATCATATTCGGGTGACATAATCTATAATTTACATGGACAAATTCGCTGGAAAACAGCTATGTAGTCGTCCTATGTGTGTAATGAATTTCAACTAAATCGGAAAATTTAATCGTGAGAGTTGCATCGTTGATAGATAGACAACAGTGTGAACCTATAAGGGTTTCTATTCTCTTTTTGAGGCTGAAAAAAGATGTAGGTGTCTAGGACCTTCATGTCGCAATTCTATGTGAGGTATATAGGCAAAGGATCGAACATTACAAGGCACGGTTCTCACACATGTCTTTCGTATATATATTATATATATACGTTTTTATACATGCTCGCTGATTTTTATAGCTTCAGACCTTTATGCACGCACACAATCTATTTCATAAAAGATGTCTTGGCTTTCCACGACTTTTTTCCACTTCCGTTTGTTTTAACTAATAAAACATCACATTTTCGGTCTATTCGGTGATAAGTTAGAAATAATTCAATAAAAACCTTGTCAGCCATTTCCATCATAAACTTTGCTTTTGGATGACAACATCGCCTGGATGGAGTTTTGACGTGCATGTAGCAACACATGTCATTCAACACGATGTTGGATAATCTTAACATCCTGTAAATTGGTGATAAATAAATAAAAATAAACGAAGCTTAGACAACCTCATATATAGTGCTAAAATCCCATATTAAGAATTTACAGCACTTGTGTTCTGAAAATCTCAAACAAAAAAGGTACCATACATCCAGACTTGAAACAATATAGAATTATCCTGACAATTGAAGAAGTTAGTCAAAGAAAAAATAATTGAACTAAATTATTGGAGGTAACATTATCATTGTATTCATTATTCTAACAGAAGATTGTATTGGACTATTGAATATTCTTTTAACGGCACATCGAATAAAAATCAATAGATATTTTAGCGTCATCGACATTGTCTATGGAGTACTTTGTGTTTTTTACAAGTGTTTAATCTGATAACATTAACTTTCAACTAGTCCTAGTAAATTGTGGTTAACGGTAATGGTTTTGCTATTATAAAACTTTGTACATCATATTTGTTTTTATTTTTAAAATTGTTTGTTAACCCAGATAAAAAAAAAAAACAATCCAAAGAGTTACAAGATTTTATACCTATCAGCCAAAGCATAGTGCCCCGGTCGAGTCAACCGCATCTGTATCCCCTTGGCGAAGGCTACAGTAGCGTTACGTGCCCAAATGAATCTCTTGTCGCTACACATAGCTAACAAATCTTTCTTTATTTGATTCACCTGCCACCTGTAAAAATATGGAAAATAGGCAATTACCTAGCGAAATAGACAAATGGCGGACTTAATGCCAAAGAGGCAATCTCAACCAGTAAATTTAGTACAAAACTTTATTTAGATTTCAATAACATTTGTCTTAAAATATATTTTAAAGACAAACGTTATTGAAGACAGTTTTTCAGACTTACTTGATTTAAAAACCTCAAGCGAGCCGAAATTGAACGGTGGTGTGTAATTTTATGAACCGACTTCAAAAAAGGCTGTTATCAATGTTACTAGGTGTGCGTATATTGGTCTGTATGAGCTTCTATATACGTGTGCTGAATTGTATAGGTGTATGCCTGTATGTTTGTCTACGTATTTCCCGCAAACTAGACGTCGGATCAAAATGATTATGTTTTTGTATAATTGCTTAACTTTCAACACAGGGAGCGAGGCCCGGCAAGCATGTCTGCTGCCTTGTATGCCCGTCTATTTACCGCTTATATTTACTTTCATACAAGAAGATATCTCTTCAATGATTTTGATATGTCGAGAAACGTCAACTTAGTAGGTAGTCATTATTTATATCAGCCATCGGCCGTTATCGATAAGTTTACGAAGATTTTTCTTTCATATAGCCGACTTGCAGCTTTAATAAGTGAGGAATGATATTTTTCTGAAAAGCGTTTCATATATGTTTAGAAAGTTTTATAGAAGTGGGGGCTTTAAACAACACTGATTTAAAATTTTGCAGGCTACGAATTTGTTACTACAAAATATTCGTAGTCGTAGCGTGTAGCAGAATTACGTAGTCGCATAAACAGTTGCATATTTCTACGTGGTTGTACAATATTGTGATATGTTGAATTGACTTTTCATTTCTTAAAAAAACGAAACTGAATTTCTTCATCAAATATAATTGCCTCTCGGTAACGTGGACCACAGAATAGCTCCGAATATCTATCTAATTAAATATCTTTGTTTTCAAAAAGTTGTATTTAGTACGACGATGTCGATATTCACAAAAACACTAAGTAATATTTTATTTTGTAGCGTTAATGAATGTTGGATATTAATATTATTTTACAAATTTTAATTTACATTATCGATTTCTAGTTAAATAAATTCGAATATTTACTTTGCAGTCGTCTTCTTTTTTGTTTTGCGCAAATTAACAAAATATTCGTAAGCTTGATCCGGCTTGAAAGGCTCGTCGGCGTCCAACATCGAACGAAGTCGAAAAATCTGAAAATATTGTATTAAATGTAGAAAACAGTTTACAGATTAACAGAGATCTTTATAGGAAGTGGCCTTTCGGAGGATAAAAGACTGAGGTGTATATCAAACTATTATTATGAGTAAATTTTGAGGAGTATTATTCCATAGGATAATATGAATAGCTCAATGAGAACAGAAAAGACAGGGTTATAAATGGTGTTGCCAGGCGTCCCATATTTCAAGAATAAATTCAAACGTCCCGCCGGGACTGACTGTCCCGATATCGATATCGAAATGGAACCCCAATTTTTTTTAATGTGCGATATGAAACAAAAATATCTTTGAGGATTATTATTCCATAGGATAATATGAATAGCTCAATGAGAACAGAAAACACAGGGTTATAAATGGTGTTGCCAGGCGTCCCATATTTCAAGAATAAATTCAAACGTCCCGCCGGGACTGACTGTCCCGATATCGATATCGAAATGGAATCACAATTTTTTTAATGTGCGATATGAAACAAAAATATCTTTAAATAGGCGCGTTTTTTATTTCACCAGGATTAAAGAATCTCGTATTTTTTGCAATATAAGTATTTGTCCCTTAGAGGGTGAAAAAAATCTGGCAACCCTAGTTATAAACCTTCATGTAGATATTCAAGACTTATCATTTAATCTGCGTTCGGCTTTATTGTCTGAGAGATAAAATTGTTGCGAATCACTCTAGCAATAGACTACAGTGGTTAACACGTTCGGTCTATGAAGTTAAGCAACCTTCGCAAGGGTCGAGCATAGGATGGGTGTCCAAAAATTTACTATCTCGAGCTTTTCCGTGCTTCGGACGGCCCGTTAAGCTTACTTCATAACAGATGTAGGTATCTTAAGATACGGAAATATTATTATATCTTAACCGTGTGTGGTGATATGTTAAAATATATAATAATAAGATGAAATGTTATAGAATCTTTACCTTCTGTTAGAAGCTTTAGGCCATTGGTGTCGGCCGTATCTGTAGTCGTTAACATCTACCAATACGCACTGGGCCCGCGTGGTGGGTCATGGCCCATTTTCCTTATTCGATTCGATTGAATACTAATCCAGGGGAGCCCTGCGTCCCAATAATGGGGACATCAATAGGCTTAATTTCGGTATGATTTCGGCTGTTCGAATGAATTTGTTTGTGCCCAATCATAAAATTATCGATTTAGTATGCCTGTAACAGGCAAAATCTCACAGAACAGCTTTCACAGACAAAAAAAAAATTCATTTTTTGTTTATGAAAATAGATAGTCTATGTAAATCTAACCGTTTCAGGAGGTAATGTATATGCGTGTTCCCGCCACAAGTTAATTATGTTGCGTCGACAAGGCTTTGATATCCTCTCTAGTCGATCAGTAAGGATCGCTCCATGCCTCCGGAGGCAGCGGGCGTGCGCTCTCGTAGAACGTCTGTTCAACTTCACGTCAGTTGCCTTTGGACCCCTGTAAATGTTTCCACTAGGATTCAACATGAGTATTCATGATACTTCAGAAAAGAAAGACGAGGATTGAATGTTTTTTATAATATGTTTCAGTAGTGGATCGCTTCTGATGTTTGAAAGGATATATTCACGAGGGGATTCCATTAAATTTTTTTTTAAAACGCATCTGTTGTTTTGTTGTATAGAAAAACTGAAAGTCATCTCGACGATGTCATTGTCATGAAAGACTACAATTTTTTTTAAAATTTAAATGAAACCAAAACATACTTCAAAAACAAATCGTTTTATTTCCTAATGAAACTACCAGAAAAGTGGGTGGTGGGTGAGTGGGTACTCAATAACTGGAATTTGAATTAGACTTCCCCTATTTGATTCCATTCACAGAGAACGCATATACTCTAGGAATGAGGAGAATAATATCCTGATAATGAGAAGATAAAAATTCGCAGAGTTCCCTAGATTTCTCCGAAATTCAATCATCAAATCCTTCCCTGCTGACCACGGATTTTCCTAGAAGTGTTTTCCCCTAAAAGTATTTAAGAATTTTCCAAATCAATTCAAACATGTTTGAGGAATCGGCGTACTTAAATACATAAAAAGAAGAATTTTTCAACTAATTCGCTTCGCTCACGAAAAAGCTTCCTTAAATATTTTAATGGTAAAAACAGGTCTTTATAAGTGAACATAAAGACGTCTAATAATAAGAGTTATCAGAGTAGAGAATATGAGAATTTAGGTATTATAAATTATATTACGAGGGTCAAACTGAAAGTTCTTAGAAAATCAAAAACTGATTACATTAGCCAGTTATTAGTTTTATTATATCTTTTCAAAATATTGTCCATTCACGTCAATACACCGCTGCATGCGATGGAACCACTGGGAAAAGCACTTTGCCCACTCGTCCTTAGGGGTCTCTTCAATGGCATCGCGATACGCAGCCACCGCTTCTTCAGCATTCATAAACCGCTTTCCTTTAAGTTTTTCTTTAATTTTTGGAAATAAATAAAAATCACAAGGCGCGAGGTCGGGGCTATACGGCGGGTGACCCAGTAATTCAACGTTTGATGTCGCCAAATAGTCGATCGTTCGCTTGGCGGTGTGCGACGAGGCGTTGTCGTGGTGAAGGAGGATCCTACTGCGAGGTCGTTTCTCTCGAACTTTTTCCAAGACAAGTGGCAAACAATTGGTAGTGTACCATTCTGCAGAAACTGTTTTTTGATCCTCTAACACAATTGTTGCAAAATGACCTATCCTTCCAAAGAACGAGGCCACCATTTTTTTTCCCGCACTTCGATCTCTCTTCACTTTAGTTGGCAACTCCTCGAAAGGAAACACCCACTGAGCAGATTGTCTTTTGGTTTTAGGATCATAACAGTAAATCCAGCTTTCGTCACCTGTTAGTATGTCGAACACAGCATTTGAGTCACCTCCGTTAAATCTTTCAATCATTTTACGACACCAATCCACACGATGGAGTTTTTGAGCCTCAGTCAAATTATGAGGTATCCACCGGGCGCAAAGCTTCCTGACCGCTAAATGTTCGTGGAGGATTTTGTGCACTTGACTCATACCGATGCCTAAGCTTGTCCGAATCTGTTGATAGGTCACTCTTTTGTCAGTCTCTATCATACGCCGCACAACACAGATGTTATCTTCAGTCGTCGCCGTAGAAGGCCGTCCCTCACGTAAATCATCAGTGAGATTAGTGCGACCACGTTTAAACTCATTAAACCAGTTGTAAACAGTCGCACGAGATGGGGCTTCATCGTGAAAGGCCAATCGTAGTCTATCATAACTTTCTTGTTGACTTAAATGACATCGAAAGTCATAAAAAATCATTGCACGAAAATTTTCTCGTGTTAAATTCATGATGACGTGACACAGACAATTTTCGATTTGCCGCCAAATCGTAAAACAAATGACAAATGAATGAAATATATACTCAGTAATATTGGCAAAGAGTTATACTTTCAAATTTTAGAATTATTTTTTTATTATATTGTTTATAAGTGGCCAGTTCTAAGAACTTTCAGTTTGACCCTCGTATAAGTTATATTAAAGATTTATGATGATGGATTAATACAAACTGCTACTAGGGTAGTTTAGTTGCTAAATCACCTAGGCTTCGCGGGCTTGGGAGCCGGACGAACTGGTTGTCTTGGTATAGACTTGTGTTGGATACGTATGTCTCGTCCGGCAATAATAGTGTTGGCGACAGATGGTGGCGCGGGTTCCGTGTTGTAAGGAGGATATGGTGGAAAAGTAGCTCCTGCCGCCTCACGGGTGGGAGATGCTAAGAGTACAGAATGAATATTTAAAAAAAAATTATTAACTTTTTTATTCGTATAAAACTTATCCTTAAGATTACTTAATTACACACATGTTGCAAATTTAACACTGTGTTTTCTCATACGCGGTACGGTGACTTGGGTCGTGTCAAGATAGCCCCGGGTGGCGGGGAGGAGAGAAAGTGGTAGAGGACTGCTCTAGGATAGCAAGGAAGGATGTAGTGAGAGGGAAATAGGTTCAGCGGGTGTCGTCAAGCAGGCGCGCCGCCTAATTATCACGCTCCCACTTAGCCATAGCTTTAAGAATGTCTTATGAATTTGTTTATATTCTTTAACGATCATTGTCATGTTTTAGTTTAATGAATTACGTCAAAATAGGGGAAAAAAGTTATTACTGAAGTAGAACAAAATGTTTGATAAAATATAGTTAATGATTGATTCCAGAAAACTTTCTATAGCTTGAGGTGTAACTAAACGATCGCAGTCCAGAAGTGTAGATAAATTATGTGTATTAAGTACATTAAAAATTAAAAAAAAAAAGCTTTGTAATGCTCAAAAATTGAAAGCCTGACGCGACTGAAGTATGTGTTTCTATCTGCGGTTGAAGTCCTTCTGCTCCAAGATTTATTACAAATTGTAATTTGTGTTTGCGTTGTTTGTTTTAGTTAGGGATTCATTTATAAACTTTTAGCTAAAACGTATTTTAAATCAGTACTTTAAAGTGTACCTAAATGGAAGATGATTTTTTTATTTAAAAGATTAGTGGTTACCTTCTCCCATTACTGAGGCTGGCATTTCGCTTTCGGCATATTCGGAAGCGGTGCCGGAAGCCGCTGGCGGAGATTGAGCCATGTTGAAGGAAGTATAACTATATCAATTATTTTAGAACAGTCCTTGTAGTCTATAATTCATTAAAAAAGGTACATTTATCGAATTAGCTATTTTGTCGTGATAGCATTTTTAAAGAATGACATGTAGGTATCTTCTTTTTTTAAAGTTGTTTAATTAATTGATAGCCAGTTGCAAATGATACAAATACGTAATGTAAGAAGATTTTATTGACTTTCAAGGAAAACTATGTCATAATTAATTAGTGCAAGCGTTGCGCTACTGGAGGGAAATGAGTTCCAACGCAAAATGTTAGGACTGGGCTTTAACAACGAATATCAACTGAAAATTGCTCAAAGAGCTAGAAGTCTATGATCAAAGAATATTAATATGAGTGTCGCCCTACTTTTTGGTCTTCGGCAACTTGATCATTGTCACCACCTTCTTATTTCTGAAAATTGGGGCCTTAAATTTAAATTTCAGGCTGTTTATTTGATTTTCACGTGACGAGGGTTCCGTCAAAATAGACCTTAGGCATTTAATACTTTTTTTTAATTTATTTTTTACTTCATAACTTCAGGTAGTTGTTATCTGTATTTTTTTAGTTATAAGCCCAGTAGTTTCGTAGATTACGTGGAGTGGTCATGAATTATGTTCATTTCCAAAATACCTACATTACTTGGATTTTGAATCTTATTTTAAGAAGTCTTATTTTTTTGAATAATGCAAGTTTTACAATTTTTATGAGGAAGGGGATGAAATTGGACTGATCAAAATATTTTGACAAATAACGAAAATATCATGTAACATATGTTCACATAAAAATAATTTAGTTGAATTGATAACGTTTTCCTTTTTGAACTCGACTAAAAATATGTGCGCGGATTAAAAACTGTTGTACGCTTTAATAACACTTTGGTACGCTATAATGCCCATTCTTTGTTAAATAGAAGTGAAAAATATTTATGTTATAAAAAGTCAGTAATCGAATCAGTCTATCGACTAACTCCTTTTATATTAATGTATTTATTTGTAATTCTTTGCACGCAAAAATTGTACCAATCTCTACCAGTCAACCTGAGAACTAGGCACCACCATAAATCAGATAAAGGTAATAAACCAAAAACAGGAATACATATTCCATATTTCTATTTAAATCATTGAAATCTTGAGTACGCATTTACCCTAATGTGTAAATAATAATAAAAATATACATTAAAAACAATACACATTCCATATATACATACATTATATACTGTTCGAACAACTGTCAGATTATCAGGATAAGTCTGAGATTTCAATAGATAATGCGGTAGTATTTTAAGGAAAAAAAGTAAAACCTTACTAAATAGCGATTCTAGCAAAAGCTGATTTTTGCAGGAAACGAATGGACGAAAGATAGTCATTTCCGTTCCTTTTTAACTAACATATTAAAAAACTTAGATATAGAAGAATATGAGTTATTTATTGAGTTTTGAAAATTAATTTACTTTAGAGAAAACCGAAAGGATTGTCATAGAGAAATCAAAAAAGTACCATAGCGACATCTAGTTTGATTTCGCGAACTAATGTTTTTTTTAAATACTTTTCCATTGCGGATTAAACGCTTGAAAGCTTTATTATGTGCTTTCTGAATGCAGGATGAAAGTGTGTTCTAGATTCGTATTGCCTGAAGAGTCAAAGAGTTGGAAATAAAACTAGTGCGGTGAAAAGGAATAAGAAGTGTTCAACATTGCTGCTTAAGCGAAGATTTAAGGCATAGGAAGCACCAAAAAACTCGATTTTCATTTTAGGTACTTGGGAGCACTTGGATCATAGATTCCGATATTCGAAAATCGAGAACTAATTCAACTCTTTGTGGTAAGCCGAAACATGGATCATGCCATAGATAGATTCATCTTATTCTTATTGAGTATCAGTCCATATGATAGTGGGCTGAATTAAGAATATTTTAGTAAAAGTGAGTAGAACGTAATAAAATTGGTTAAAGGACTATAGCGTCATATCGATATGCAGTCCAAGGTTTACTACATGAGAAACAAACTCGATGATAGTATTTCTGTATGAGAAAGGGTCAACAGTACTCGAGTCTACATTTGATTGACACAGATGCCAAATTTACTACTACTCTAATCAGGGAGCCAATTCAACTAAATAAATTTTGAATTTGTATTTTTTCATTACAAGGTGTATTTTGTTTTTCGAAATTCCGATTACTTCTTTACCTTCCCTCATTGAACTTTGAGGATTTGCCTCAAACTATATTTAGGAACCGTAAGGTTGGAGGTGTGGTCCCTACTGTAGTGACGGAGACAACTGGCCAGGGAGACTAAAGGATAATTGTCTCCCTCCGAGCTAGGTGTTTTTAGCCCGGGGACCGCGGTCCAACCGATGTAGGTTTGCTTGTCGTCGGGTAGTAAAACTCCGTAGGTAACTTATTCTGTGCGATGTAGGTTTCTTTGTTCTAAATGTCTTCTAGTTATTAATTTATGCTGTTTGTATTGGTGCAGCGCCATCTCGTTACTTGCTGTTGAAACTTATTGCAGTTCGTCTTGCTATCGATGGCTGTGACGATGCTAGTCTTCTCGCTATCGATTGTTGTGGCGATGTTACTGCGATGAATTAGATGTCGCTATGTATCAGTCGCCACATATATATTAAAATGTCGAGTTCGTCGTCAGTGTTTATCATTTGATGCCACGGTTATATAAAAATTCACAATACAATGCAAACATACTACAATGTAAATCACAGAAACAAAAGGATAAAAGTTAGAAAATGGAACACAATTTTGAATTATTTCTTTATAGTTAGCCAGCCGCGTTGATATGGACAATATAATTTATGTGTCTATCTGCTCCGGATAGGGTTCAATTTGTTGCATACAATTAATTTTGTAATATAGGTCATAATTAATAATTTACCGTATATTGTATGGGATCACCACGTTTTACCGTATTTTGGGTATATATTTATGGGTATATAGGGTGATATTTAACTTATTGGTAAGTTGACTATCTGACTCTATTTATACGAGGTATGGGTTTAATTTTAAACTGTTTTGATGTTGAATGACGACTTGCAAATGCATTGTTGTTTATATTACAAATGGCACAGATTGCGTCACCACAGAGTGGACGACAAAGATTATCAAACAGATGTGCAACACTATACTAACGCAAACGAAATCGTTAGTTTTAGATGTCCAACAAAACATGTAAAACAGATAACAGATTTTAAATAATTGATAAATTCACGCCACTTTTAAGAAAATAATGAACACGACTTGAGTCACAAATATTTGATTGGTACGTAAGTGTGAAATTAATAGAAGTGCAATAGGTAATAGTTTAGCCATGTTTTTAAGAAAGGAAATTATATTAAATTATTTAATTAGTAGATTTTTTTAGCTGTTTCACGAAATACTAACTTTTGTTTAATATGACTATAATGTCGATATATATATCCCTTAACCACTGACGTACGTCTGAGAGACGTACAGTGCACATTAAAGCGGTCATATCTTTTTACTATAAACGCGCACGGACTTGTCCTTTCTTGTACCTTCCTAAGATCCAGTGACGAACGCGCAGCGGGTGTGAATAATTGTGCGGTGTGCCTTGATTAGGTAAGTATAGCCGTCCTAACGTCTGTGGGACGTAACGTCAGAGTAAATGTAAGCTTTAATTTTTTTTTTAGATTTTTGTGTTGTGTTAAAATGTCTTCGAATAAACGTCATTTGGATACTCAATGCCCGACTTCGAGAAAACAGCCTCGAATTAATGTGACTGATCAACAGTTTGAGAGTTTCGTCGTGGAAACCCTAGGCCTTTTCCGAGAACGATGATTCTTCAGCTGATGAGGATGACATCCTGCCACAGGAGGCTGAAGTAGACTCCTCGTCGGATAGCGATGACAATATCCCCCTTAACAGAAATACAGGGTGAAACGGGTCTTATCGAAGAAGCCGTTCCTTACTCAGACTCTGATGGACCTACGACATCACAGGAAACCGTATATTTGCAGTGTTCAAAACCGGCTTGTGACACATGTCGCTAAAAAGTGTTTAGTTCCTAATAATATACCATTTTTTTGTTTTTTTATTATGAAGTATTATCTAGATGTTAAGATACTATCAGCTCTGTGATAATTTTAGACTGATAAGTTAAGTTTTTGAGCCGTTAAGAAAGAAGGCGTTTTTTGTTCCTATTGATTTTTCAAAGATTTCTATTTTGAGTTTAAGTAAATATTTTTTATATAATTAACGTGTTTTTATTTATTAATTCGGTTCCCTTTATGCTAAATTAACGATAAATAATAAAACAAACAAATAAATATTAAAATATTACTAATAAAGGCTATTTCAAAAAACCATACGTCAGAGCGACGTACGTCAGTGTTAATGAAAGTAAATAATGGCCAGTGGTTAAGGGATATATTCTTCTTCTTTTTTAATTAATGGCTTATCTGCGCATTTCGCACAATTCTGCCAATGTCAAGTAAATAAATTAATTTTTACATGTAAAATGAAAATGAAATGAATGAAAGATAATTATTTAACCAAGGGATATATATATACCGATATAATGTGACGCGCCCCATGACAGTCCGCCATTGAAGAATTGGCAATTCAAGTTTAGGCATATGCGCTCTTTTCGTAGATATGGCCGGTTCGCTTCTTTATGTCAATGACTATAGTGTTTTTCATATAGCATAGTTCTTATTCTTTTTTAATTAATGGCTTATCTGCGCATTTCGCACAATTCTGCCAATGTCAAGTAAATTAATTAATTTTTACATGTAAAATGAAAATGAGATGAAATATTTATTTTCCTGTGTTTTTCATATAGCATAGGTAAAAATCCAAATCCAAATGTCACTGCGTTTGGGATTTGAAGTTTATAGTAACGTGGTAATTAAAAATATATATACTATAACTCGATATTACTGAGTTAATTTCTAGCAGAGATAATCGATTTTGAGGTCAATGTATAAAATAAGATATAAGAGGAATCCCGGGTTCA